CACTGCCATCCTGCATTTCTCATTGACATCTCCCTATCTCACCGCTAATGGTTGTACAACCCATTCTGGTTATGGTTTTCATTTTGGTTTTGTACCAGAGTTGTCAATTCCCGTAGATATTGGTAGATACCATTCATAGCATTCGGAGAAGGTGATTGTGGTGGAGGTTTCACACGTCCTCATCCTCGTCCCCGTCTATCTTCCATTTTGCACAACAAGGTACACTTTAGTTTTTTATTAAATCTCTCAATATCTATACACACCCAATTCATAAATATATATACACAAAAGATGTACCTATGGTTTGTCTCTCTCCTACCTACAACTCTAGTGTAACCCAAAATTACAGTTCCCATGTAAGACCTAGTTCCTAGGCTGATATCAAATTGTAACACTCCAAAATTCATCATGGATAGAATTATTCAAACCATGAGAGCAACTAATAACATCCATAAATAAAGATAATATATTCATCATTCATAATAACTAGAGCATAATCCAAACCCAACATGCCAAACCTTGGCAATTACAACCAAAACTGAAAGAACCTTACTCCTAAAGCTAACTAAAAATGTTTAGACAACTATATCAAACCCATTAGTATGACATTAAAACCGTCAGTTACATTCCCAAAATTAAATAACATCTCACAATGGAATAAACAAAATAATAGCCTTCACAACATCTCAAAATAACTTGTGAAATTAAGCAATGAAGGATAAGGCTCTACACATTCACTTCGGGGTCCACTTCGCCATCAATCTGGACTTCCCATATGAGTTCATCCTCTAAACTGAAATCTGTAAAATGTAATAGTAGGGGTGAGAAATAAGCTATGTGGCAACATTTTTCTAAACCCGAACAAGGTTTTAAAATGTATAACAGAAATAGGTCGGTCTCTTTTTACAAAAAAACATTTATAATCTTTGAAGTAAAATAAGGACATTTAAAAGATCTCAAGTTTACGTTTTACACAATATGAAAAATAAGAAGTAAAAACCACCTTCAATTGGTAAATAATCACCAACAACATATAAATATCTCATGAATACAGGCTTGGCTACAGTGAATCTACACAACGAGAATATCCTAGCTCACAAAATTCCATCTTCCCAATAATACACCCCGCATGGCAAAACACTTCAGGAAGGGCTTATATCGACACATCTACAAGAACAAATCATTTGTAGGATTATGGTATACCAACTTTTAGCCTCGATTGTCATAAGCGAATAATGTTTGGCATCCCGCGAGGTACCAACCCAGTACAAGTAATAGGAAACCATAGTACCCCTCAAAGTCTCATACAACATCTAAACACTCTACGACATTAGTTGAAGGTAACCCACATGCATCAACAACCCATACAAGAGATAATATTTCAACTAATTCATCCAATCAGATGTAATTTAGAAACCATAACTTCACAAGTGTTTTCAACTAGAACAATTTTAGGAAAACATACGAGAGATCATCAAAACATATTTTTATTGTTCGGAATCAATACTAGAATTTTAGAAATCAAGAACCTACAAATGTCATGTGGAAAGCCTATATTTCTTGAAATATAAGATTTTGATTGTAATAACGAAGGTTTCATGGCTATAAAACGTAGATTTCATACAACAACATTATAGGATTTGCAAAAAAACCAAGAATTCATGATTACATATAATATATATGGGTTAGAGTTTGAAACATACATATATAATAACCCTAGCCTCAATGACCGAGTTCAGAGAGAAACCCCTACCTTTAATCCCTTGTGTGATACAAAACCCTAGCCTTTTTGAGCCGTTCACCACGTGAGAATCCTCTCAATTCTTGTTTTCTCTCATTTTTTAGGGTTTTCTAGAGTCAAGAGCTGCCGAAATTGACCTAGGGGCGTCCTTAAGAAATTTATAGGGTCAGGATCTGAACAGTTCTCGCGAGTCTGATCGTTGTTAAAATTATACTGGCGTTTGAATGTGATATTGGGCATTTGATCGTGACTTCAAATGTGATATTGACATTCGAACTTCTTGAGCTCCCAATAACTCGATTTCTGTCAATGTTTCTGTTAGACAGTAAAGTACTGTGACTAACTTGCGTTTGAACGTTATTTGCGTTTGAACGTGAACCCATTTTACTGCATCTAGTTCTAATACAATATTGATCTACCTAGAAGTCGTTTCACAAAATTTTCATGAGCTACACTTTTATAGCTCTTGATATCTAGTTTCTACTATCAAAATTTTAAATCAATCCAAGTTCAAAATAAAAAGTTATGAATACAACTAAGACAACATCATACTATCCCCAACAAACTTTAACCCAAATTTGCCACTCAAATACAAAGCACTTCTACTACACCATATTTTCTTATTCTTACATCATCTTATACTCATTCCACAAAGGCACAAAATATACATTATTATAAATACATGGGGGTTTACATTACCATGACCATGATAGGATTGATATTGTTTGGTGTCTTGAGGAGCAAAAGGAAAAACACCACGTTGAGCTAAATTGACAGTGGGAAGAGTATCCGAGGCTGCAATATCTTGAGCAAGACGGAATTCTTCAGAAATAAAATGACCTAGTAGATTCACAAGGGTCAAAGAATCCATTCATTTATTTATTTTATTATTTTTACAATTAGTAACTACCATAATTAAAAACCAATTTTACAACTTATATTAATTTTTAATATAATATTAAAAAATAATTTTTTGGTACCATAGACTTATCCATTTTTTTTGTATTACCAAGTTTGGCATTTTCTTTTAGGGTGGGGCTATACCCACCCCACAAATCTCTATTTCCATCCCATTTAATTTTTCATTATCAAATTACTAAATCTATCATTTTTATACCCATTCCATTAGTAACTAAGGTCACCTCATGCTACATACACCGCTTTTAATAAGTAAACTCATTTTATATTTTGTTATAATTAGAGTTTCATTTTCTATCTTCTCATGCATTTATAAAAATACTTTTTCAATATAATTTTTTTTCAAGGAGATACATGTTAATATTACTTCTTAATTTAATTATATATTTGATTTCATGTTTGTTATATAAATTTTTATTATTTTCGGTATGTTTTGATATCTCTGTCAAATTTAATAATTTTTTATCTAGAATTTATATGTGTGTATATATATGTATGGTTTTAGATTATTTGTTCTTTTTTATCTTGTTAAGGTTTTGCCCCTATTCTTGTTATTTTTGTTTTGTTCGATTTATATTTGTACTTGATGCTTATTTTTTTTTCATATTCAGTTTTGCATCTTGTAATTTTTTTGTTATTTTAATCTTTGCTTGATTTTTTTTCTCATTCTTGTTTCAGTTTACTTCTTTCTTTCTGTTTTTTTCTTGTTTTGTTCTTTTCATTTTTTTTTTTGTTTCGGTCTACTTCTTTCTCTCATTTTTTTTCTTTTTTTCTTGTTTTAGCATGCTTGGTTTTTTTTTTTTTCACTTGTTTCGTTTTTAGTTGTTTTTTTTTCTTGTTTCAGTTTTGCTTGGATATTTTTTTTCTTGTTTCGTAAATATATTTATGTATTCAAACTAATTGTCTTCTTTCATTATTTTTTTCTTACAATGACTTCTTTCATTAAAAAGTTGTATATAGAATGAGTGAACTTAATTATTAATAGGGTGTATGTAGCAAGGCGTAGGCTTAGTTACTAATAAGATTGGTATAGAAGGAGTGAATTTAATAATTTTATAATAAAAAATTAAATAGGGTGGGAATAGATTCACTTTTTTTTTTATTACTTTTCTATTACTGTTGAAAATGATTATGTATTATGATCGTTTTAAGAAAAATGTTGTGTCCACCAAAATTTTTACCAAATTTTAAATCCCAAGTTATGTGACATATTAATAGTCATTGAATTGTTAGTTAAAGTTTATGGGACTCATTGATTTTATGATTCACGACGATTTAAAATTCGCATCTTAGTAAAAATTTTGATAGACGTAACATTATTGTTGTTTTTAAATTGTCCATTAGGCTCGGCCCAATGTGTAATTTGTTGAGGCCCATTAAAGCCGTCAATTGGTGGACTAGGCCAACCCAGTTCTGATGATACCAATCCTTGTAATTGTGGTCCAAAAAATGAAATCATTCGGTAAAATTAATAATGGTGTAAGAATAAACAGTGCATTGCTTTATAAAAAATAATCTGATTGCTTTTTTTTTTTTTTGATCAAAACACAAAGATATTCATTTCATTAAGTAGGAAAGTTTTGGTTACAGTCAAGCAAAATAAAAGTCATATGCTCTTGCGGGGGTAAGCTAACCCAATCCAACGGCAGTGAACTGTTCATTAAAGCGACTGCCATCCAGTAAGCCGCCCTATTACGGGCTCTTGATGAACATGATTTGTCTCTGATTGTATTATTATGAATTTACATTCAAAAATCAATTTATCCAAATATTGCGTGATTGAGACGGTAATTGGTCGTAAAACATAATATAATAATTGTTCGATATTAGGATTGGGTCATGGACTTGAATCGGGGTATTCATAATAGATCGACCCAATTAGAAAATGCTTATGGGGCATGACTCTTGGAGGAGTCTTTTACCATGCAAATGATGTGTCTGTTAAACTACTAACAAACATGTTTCTCTCCAAACCACCTATATTGATTGCTTATATAAACCTTATATCTACCAATGAACATTAGCAAAAAACTCCTACCGATAAAACTCTCTTACTCTCTTTATCTCTCTGCATACATAACGTTAAAAAATATTTGTGTTGTGAAAATACAGTGTTAATTCCTCTTTTACAACAACACTATACTATTCGAGCAATCAAAGAAAAGACATTTTTCGAATTCTAAAGAAATGTTGAACATCCTCGTGTGATTTGGGATTAAATTGAATAAGGTATATATTTGATCATATGCTTTTGCATAACTTTTTGAATACCAGCAATAAGTTTCAAAGAGGGAAGAGGCACATATCAACACTACAAAACATTAAACATACTTAAGACATTGTATATTGTAATTATTTCATGTATAAAATTACATATGCTTCAACAAAAGCAAAAAAAAGAACAAAAGAAAAGAAAGAGAAGGTTGAAGAGCAAGACTTGCATGCATCTCCATTTACACATATAACAAAGCTCTAAACACATCATCCAACATAAGTCTTCATGGCTTTTTCATGTCTTTGCTTGAGGAACACGTGGTTGAACCAAGAGTGTGATAGTTTATGTATCTGCTAGGAGCAGAAGAGTGGTGAAAACCTTTCGGCAAACAAGTCTCGACATCCGGGCCTTGAAAAGCACCATGTCCGTGCTTTGTTTGGGGCTTGAATGCCACTGTCTCTCCAGAATTTGGTCCCAATGGCCTCATGGCAGCAGCAATGCATATGGTTTTCGGTCCATCGGAGATGAGCACCGGAGGAGAGAGCAGGAGGAGGAAATGGAGAATGGCCATGAAGAGGTGAGTACCAGCCATTTGAAAATTGTGTTTGACTAGTTCGTAAGGGTGTGTTTGGAGGTTAAAGAGCAACAAAAGGCCTTAAATAGGCTCGTGATGACAGAGAAGAGAGTGAGAGAAGTCCAGCTCATATCCTTGCATGCATGCTTTGTTGTAATACTAGTAGTTGTGAAGTGAGTTGGCGATTTCGACTTTTGACAATGCAGGTGAGAATGCTCGTGTTCTTCATTACTAGTTCCTACGTTTCTTTTGTCAAAGTCAAATTCCCATTAGTTCTCCATATGGTTGTATTTCTACATTGTAATAATTAGTTAACTTAATTTGACGAAAAGAGAATACATTATTACGATATACGTCACAAGTTTAAGTTTGACAATCAAACTTTTCAAAATAAGAATAAAGGTGTTTATCATTTATTTTTCTTAGACCTCAACGTAAACAACAGCCTTTTAAAAATAAGTTATGGATGCGATGTCATCCAGTGTAACACTTGTTGAAATTTGTGGTTCATACTAATGGGACAATTGTAATAGATGAAATGGTTAATAAGTGAGAGAGAGAATGTTGAAATTTATAATATAAAACATGGTATGTTTCAATTAATATATTTGACGGTCTCAAATATATTCATTCAACGGTCATCAATATTTCCTAACACCATTCACATTATACTGTACTTTCAGACACAAATTACCCATAAGTAGGTATTAAAACTAATCTTGATCACATTAGTATGTTAATTAATATGGACTACCATTGATGGATAGGATTATTGTGAGGTTAATCCAGAATTTAGACACTAGTTTGGTTGATTCTAATTAAATCTATTGCTATTATAAAATAGGAAAAAAAAGGGTTTGAAATACCTATGCCACCACTATGATCTTCCTATCTCTATCATCAATCTCTACAATTCTCTCACTCTATACACCCATTAGTCAATTTTAAGAGAAAAGAAAGCAAAAGAAAGGAAAAGTGAGTGTGGGAATTAGGCGAAGTCAATCCAATCACCTTCACTATGACAGAAGGAAGGACATGATTTGGCCACGTGGAGGTAGTAGCTTACCTGTATGGCAAACCCCCCCCCCCGCCCCCCAAAAGTCAACATTTACACGTCATCCCTATGACCTGTTCATGTCCCGATCGTGCCACGTGTTAACGGTTAAAGATCCATCTACCAGACGTATCAAGTAATCCCAACGTACGAGATCTCAACCACTACTCTAAATCATGTATTTGAAGCTTGATAAAGTTGCACCTGTTTTTCCGTTTTGGATGTCTATAAGGTCAGTATCCAGAACACAGGTTGAATAAAATCACGTGGAAACAGTAACTATAAGTTTATAACAGTCCGAACCCCTTGTAATACATTTCACTTAATGTTAGTAGATGTTTTAACACTAATTTAACTTTGAAAAAATTTCAATCACACCCTTTTTAATTTACTACATCTTCAATGACACTATTTCTATTATTCAAAACATCATTGACACTCATTTTAGTTTATATTTAAACATCATTGATATCCCTTGTTATTAAACAATTGTTTCTGATAAAAAAATATCTAAAATATTAAAATTACACTTGCATAAATCCTAAACAATATTTCTACATAAAATTTGATTAAAATTTAAGTCGATTAAAATTTATTTTTTAATATATTAACATTCAAACTGATTAAAATTTATTTTTTTACATATTAAAATTTAAACCGATTAAAATAAAATTCAAGATGATTACATTTTATTTTATTTTTTACATAATAAAATTTGAATCTATTAAAATTAATTTTTTAAGTGTTAAAATTTGAGCCGATTTAAGCTCTACTTGAACTATTAGAGCTGATTAAAATTCGTTTCGATTCGATTAAATTTTATAATTTTTTACTTATTAAAATTTGATTTAAGTTGATTAAAATTTATTTTTTTACGTATTAAAATTTGAGTCAATAAAATTCAATGTGAACTAATTAAAATTTGATTTGAGTCGTTTAAAAATTTTAATCGACTCGAATAGAATTTTAATTGGCTCAAATTTTACTACGTAAAAAAATATAATTTTTAATCGATTCGAATAAAATTTTAATCAATTCAAATTTTAATTGTAAAAAAATATAATTTTTAATCAATTTGAATTTTAATACGTAAAAAAAATACAAAAACAAATGGAGTCTCATTGAAAATATATCTATCTAGAGGAGGTGGGGATAAAATTTTCTTAAAATATATTATGAATAATTTAATAAAATTACATTATAATTAATACCTTTTATCCGGTAGAAGATGTCAATAAAGATTCAAAAAATACAAAAAAATATAGTTAAAAATATAATAAACTAGAGGGGCGTGACTAAAATTTTCCCTTCAACTTTTATTAATTGTATTTCATTGAGAATCGATCCGTATAATTCGTCGACATAAATACCCCAGACTAGAATCCTTTTTTTCTCGACCAAAGCCACCAGCACCGGCGGAGCTAACTTGGGGCCATGTGGTCTACCCTCAACTTTTATATATATATTTTTCATATTTTATGTGCATATTTGTCTATTTATTAAACATTCCACAAATTTATACCGTGTTTAATAATGATAGAATTTTGGAGTGGACTGTTTATCCTAAATCCAAATCATCTAATGGGCCTAACAGTTGCATGACGCCCCAAGAGACCTCTCCACAACCCCTCTGCGTTGCAATAAGGAATGAGCCAAAATCTAAAAAATAGAGTCTAGCAAAAAATCTAGCTCGGCACAGTCCTGCTTGGTTATAACAAGCTCAATGGTAAGCAATCCAGTAGCAAGAAGCTTGGTATTCACCAGACCTCGAACACCCCATATCGCGCCACGTGTCCAGAGGACAACCTCTGGAGCTTTTAACGAACGTGTACTCATTAGTAAAAGAAATATTTGTGCACATTTCATTAAAGAACTGTAGATATGACTAGTGTCAGGGTAACGGTTATCACTAAAAGACAAAAAGGAAGGGATTATAAAATCAGCCGAAGGAAGGAGAAGATAAAAAAAAAACCTTAGATAACCCATTGTATAAATAGAACATCATCACACTATATAAGAGATATCTGGAAAAACCTTTACTCGCAAGGCAGTCTTCAAGAAAGCTCTAAAGCCAAGAAACTGACAGTAATCTTTTTCTTCAAGTAATATAAACCCTTCGGAATAAGAGCCTCCATTATAGTGAACGTAGCCTTGACTTTTTGATTAGGGTATATCATTTATATATTGTCATTGATCTCATATATTTTCTCTGTTAGCTTCGAACATTCATATTACCCATTTCCTATCTTCTAAATCAGTGACCTGGACTTGGGCCGAGTATTTTTGGCCCATTCGTGTGTTTTTGTATATACACACTTACATGACCAGGGGTGGCGTTAAGCTGGGTTCTGGGTGGGCAAGTGCCCCCTCCCAAGTTTTTTATTTTTTTTATTATCTATGTATATATATAATATATCACTTGTCCTCGCCCAAAACTAAAGGCAAAAGTTCTGGACCCACCACAACCTACAGAAACCGTCTTACCATTTATCGACCATTAGACACGGCCAAATGAGTCTCTTCGAAGTTATGTGCAATGTTTCAATCAGGAAATTTTTAAAGCGGAGAGTATTGATGATATATATATATATATATAGTCTTATTTTATATATAAATATAGATAGATATGAGAGAGATTATTATTGTTAATCATACTATTATTTTTATTGAGTATGTTACTATTTTTGCTGAACATGTTATTATTGTTATTTTTTAAAAATATTAATATTGAATGTTAGCCTTTTTTTATGTTTAAATGTTACTATTTTTTTTAAATAGTATTATTTTTTGTGTTTAAATGATAACTACGTTTTTTGTATTTGAATGTTACTCTCTCTCTCTCTCTCTCTATATATATATATATATGTGAGAGAGAAAATTTTTTAATGTTAATCAAATTTTTAAAATTTAGGAGTGTTTAATTTATAGTTTTGCTTCACTTCTAAAAAGAAGATATAATTTAATAAAATTGACAAAAAAAATGAACTTCATAATAAAAAAGTTTCTTTAACGGACTGAAGTTCAAACAAGTCTATATAGGGACACCGATCTCTAAATTTCCTAATTAACAAAACCAAGCCCACTTAAAAAAAAATTGGGGTCCACCACCATTTAAACAAGAGACTCAAAGTGAGTACAAAACCAGATTGAATGCATCTCAATTTTTTTTTTCTTAATATTCTCTATATGTATTTTAAATGTTTTTTTTAATATTTTTAATAATGTTCACCCTATTTTTTGGCACATCAATTAGTGTACACTTATATCAAATGAATATAAAATTTTTGACACATTTTCGACATGTTATGTACCTATCTAGATAAATTTAAAGCATTGAGACTTAAAGAACCTCGTCCGATGAGATTATCAATTGATGATTATGATATTTTCTAACGACTATACAATTGGTGACTTGTTTTTATTTGAAACTTGGTGGGTCGACGACAACACTATCATATGGCTTTTTAGAATTCCAGGCCCTTGTCCCATGGTTTTTTCCTTTGTTTGGGTTGTTTTCATGCTTGAATAATGTTTTAGTGACATATGATTTGTGATTGCCTTGCAACTGCATGTTAATAAGCGTTTTTTCTTGTATTGGGATTTTCTGTTGTTTTTTCATATAACAATTAACATTTATGGTTTTTGTATTCTTGATTTGAGCATGCAATAAATTTTACCATTGATTTGTAAACTAGTAAGGCACGACATGCGTTGCACGTAAATAAATTTAAATAATATTATTTTTATAGAAAATATGAATTATATGTATAATTAAATTAAATAATAAATTAGGTGTCAAATAATTAATTCATATTTATTTTATAAGTTTTTAAATACCTAATTTGTCATTTATTTATATATATCTTCGACACTTTTAAATATTTGTATATCTAATTATACTAGCAATGCACGACGTGTGTTGCACGTAAACAAATATAAATAAATTTTTTATATAAAAAAATTGATTAGACCGCTTATAATATTTTTATATTATAGTAATATA